TGGGCCGCGTGCAGCAGCTGTCATCTCGCCGTCGGGGTCGAGGGCGATCGCTGGACTTCCTCAGACATGGTACTCTTGGGGGCAATGCTACAAACGTGATCCGCCAGTATCAATCTTGCCGCTGAGCGCCCCAGGAACGGGGGGATTATCGCGAGTCCGAAAAACGCGCCGCTCCAAGCCCCAGCCCTCGGGAGCTCCCGCGGATCACTCCAAACCTTCAAGAAAACCGACCTGGGGCGGAAAATTTGAAGGGCCTTTCAGGACCCCGGCGTCCGCAACTTCGAAATATTTATCTTTGAGGGGGGCTGCGCAAAGGCAGCTCGCGAGTCCATGATGCAGGTCATCCGTTGTGTGTCCGCGCTGGCAGACTGTTCCCGTGAGGCCCCCCGCTTATTCCAGACAAGCGCGTGTCCAAATGCTCTGGGTTAAAAGGGCCAGGGGGGCCGTTTCCCCCGATTGGGGAAGCCCTGCTTTTCTTGGACCCCGCTGGGCCATGGGCGTGTCGAGCGCGACCCGCAGCCCAAGCTCCGCGGCCGCCTGCTCGCGCAACTGCCGGCCCTGGGCCCGCTGCGTCCACGTCTGAAGTAGGGGTGGAGACGTTGGTGCTAGGATGCGAGGCCTCTGATCTTGATCTATGAGCTCGAAAGGGGGAACGGATCTCCACCCCGGCCTCCCGGCACTTATGATCGCTGTTCCAACGGGCCGCGACGCTCACTCCGCTTGCGAGGGGCGGGGGGCGGAAGGGGCATTCTGACCTATCATCGCGCGCCAGACGAGCATCCGCCAGATGGCGACGGGGCCCGCTCCGGGCCTACAGCGCGGATCTCCGAGCAATCGCAATGCGGGCCCGCAGTGCCTCGACGTTGCGCCTGGACTTTCTATCTGGAGGAATATCCCACGCGCTTGATTTAATTCCTTATCCTCCATTCCAACCACCTCGATCCTCGTCATAAAATTGGGCATGCGAGATGCTCGCGCTATGCCGCCTTGGCGCGCTGGCCCCGGCCATTCGCGCGGCTCGCGTTCTAGCTGGGCCCCGATGTAGCTTCGGTGCCGCTGTCGAAGCTTGGCGCTGGATGCGCCTCTTCCTCGAATGTGACCTGCTAGATAATCCACTCCTAGATTGGCTGCGCGAGCGGAGGGCGCGCCAGAACATCATCCGATCGCTTTGGTCTGCTTCTGGCGTTGATCGGACTCCGAGGCCGACGCTGCTGAATTGCCGATTGCTGCGGCGCGCGTCAGCTCGTTCTGGATTGCGTCCAAGGCCGGAGGCGGCATGCTTCAGCGCGGAGTCGAGCGCGTCTTTGCAGCGGGCGGGGGTCGACGGGGGGAGATCATAGATGGAGATGTGGATGGAGATGGGCGCGTTACCTGCCCGTGGGTCACTGGACTCGACGCAGCGCATTTGCGCCGGGAAGGCGACGAAAACTACAGCCTGCAGGGGTGTCTTCCTGGGTCACCAGCACCTGATGATTGGCTGCGCGCTGCCATCCTTCTTTGGCTCTGCTATTGATTGAGAATGATGGGCGCGATGACTTCATAGGGGCCTGTGTCTAGCGCTCGACGATGAATTTTTCCTATGTTGACGCGCTCGGAACACTTTGAGAATTGCCACTGGGTCACGCACGCAGTTGCCCCCGCTGAGCGCCGCCGCTCTCCGCCTGCAACTCCCGTTGGTCAACCGACTCCCAAATTGACCGCCCTGCTTGATGGGCCAAATATCCACGCCCTTTAATGCGATGCGCCCCCCCCCCCCCCCCCCGCAGCTTTTTGCAACCTGTCGCTTCGTTCTTATCCGGGCCCGATGAACTGCTGGCGCCGGTCCGATTCCTCAGCGCGACGGCCCCGCCTCCCCCCCCAGAGGCATGCACTTTTGCATGGGGGGTCGAGACTGCAGCGGGCAACCGGCGCGGCACGCCGCCCGCGCGCTCCGCGCGCGCGAGGGGCCCGCAGAAGAGCGGCTGCCGATCGCGCGTCGGCCGCCTGATGCGACGCGAATGCGCGCCATCCCGCGTCTCCGCCGTGGAGCGGCTGATCTGCTTGCGGCCCCCCCTGGGCATGTTGGGGGCGGTATTGGGATGTCTTTGGGAGCTTGGAGGCCGAGTCGGAGCCCCCTGGAACCTTTGTCGGCTGGGCCTGGACTCCGTTGGGCAGACCGAATAACTTCCCCCCTGGCCGCCTGGGCCCTGGGTTCCGGGCTCGGAGATCCCGCTGAACACTCTCTCCGAAGGTGCGTATCTTGTCGAGCACTGCGCCCAGCTCCTGCATCGAGAGAAACTCGGCTGGCGGCTCTCCAAGCGCTTGAACCGTGCCAAGCAACTGTGATGCTGGCTTCCTGTCAATGGCACTTTGGATCTCCATCGCCTGGTTGAGCAGTCGACGTGCGTGATGACAGTGGGACTCCCAGTCAACTCGGCGCTGACTCCAATTCTTTAGCTGATAGCCAACTTGAGGAGCGCATCTTTGTCCAGGATGTTTGATAGTGGTAGATGTAGCACTGCTAATGGTTGTCTCCATTCCATCGATACTCATGTCGCACGTCGCGTCTGAGGCTGCTTGCTGCTGAGCTGGGTGCTCTACCTCCGTCAATCTCTCCTCCGAGGTACCCAGAGCTGCCTGAGTCCTGAAACGGGGCAGGGCCTCCAGAGACGGCCCGAAGGGCTTCGTGTGGGGAGCTTCTGGGACTTGCGCGGGACTGGGATCGTCGCGTTGGCCCCGAACGAAAATCAGGAAAAAAGGCAAGGACGATGCGGGGGCAGAGGGCTCTGCCTCAGCGCGATGATAAACTGCGCCGAACTCTTCAGGCATGAGCCCACGAGAAAGAATTCTATATTGATTCGGGCCCCACCTTGAAACATTGTGCATCCGTCGGTGCACGCCATCTCGAGACCTGCGCGGTCGCGCACTCCTGGGGCTGCCGCCATCGAAACGTTCATGCTCAAATCTGCGCACATGATAACTGGAATATTTTACTTCTGTTGGCACCGTCCTGCTGTCGCGAGAAGCTGCGGGCTGGCGCTGCTCAGCTGCGCAGAGTCCTCGAAGCAGTTTGGCCGAGATGAGACATATCTGCCGGTGTCCTGGGATGTCCAGAATCTCTGCTGTGGTTCGATGTCCGGGGATGCATGGCAGAAGATCAACAGGCAGAACCCCGAAGTTGTGGCCGTCGCGCACCCAGGTGCCCGCGTCGCACATGGGGCGCCCGCTGTCGCCTAATATGCAATCAGAAAAATAGTTGTCCATCCGCGCTTATCGCACCGTTGAATTCCTTGCACTATCTGTCACCTGAGAGCTTTTCCCCTTGGGACAGAACGACAAACGTCTTTTCGGATGCTTCTGCCTGTGCAGAGTGCTGGACAAACGCCCAGCGGCTGACGTTGATCGTAACGGCGCCAAGGGTGCGACTCCTGTCGCGCTTGCCGTTGCCCCCGCGACTCCGGCGCTGGTCGCAGCCTTGGCCGCCTCCTGCGCCTTGACGAGCGCCTTCTCGGCCTTCTTGGCCTCCTGGTCAGTGGTCTGCGCTGGGATGCTGCCGGGCGCCTTCTCGAGCACCCCCTGCTCGCTGTGGAGGCGCTTCTGCATCCATTCGGCGGCGACGGTCGTCTCCATGTCGCCCGCCGGGGCTGGCTCGACCGCCTCGACGACCTTGTGGAAGCCTTCGGCCTCCTCAGCCGCCGCCGCTGCCTGGGCTGGGGCACCGACTGGCGGCGCCACTGCGGGCGGCGGCTGCTGTTGCCGCTGATCCCGCATGGGAGCTTGGGGCTGCTGCGGCTGCGCCTGCGCTGGCCCCGCGAGGCCTGCCGAGCCACCTCTTGGCTGGGCTGCCAGCTCTTCCACAGCTTGCTTGATGCTCTGCTCCAGCGCGCGCACCTGCTGCTGGGCGTGAGCAGGTACATTGGAGATCAAGCCCTGCTGCAGCAAACACATGACTGGTTGAGCGACCGGAACGGGCTTTGCTGGTCACTTGTATTATGCACCGGCACCGCCGCCGAGTGGACCGTGACCGCATGCTGATCCTCCAGCTGCGCCACCTCCTCCCTCGACTTGGCGATGGAGGTTTAAAGGTCCGATCGCTCGTCGGCCAGGGTTGGGATCTACTCGAATTTGTCCGCCGCCTTCGTTTCTGTTTTCGTGATCCTCCCTTTGGTCCGCTTGATCTGGTCTCGCAGCGACTGAGCTTGTTGGTCGAGGGGGTTAGCCTTGAGCACCGACTGCTTGGCGGTCTTAAGCTGCTGAACCTCCGCCTCGAAATTTGGTACCTCTGACTTCTTCTGGACCAACCAGGCTCTGATAAGTGGTGGGCTGGTCTGTCTCGGTGGTCGTACACGCTCGAGCTGCAGCGACAGATTGGGATTGGTCAACATGTCCTTGTCCCTGCATGCCATTCCCACGAACGCCCCTGGCAGCATGTTTCCCACCTTTCCGGTGATTGGCTCCTTCTGGCGGTGGTGGATGAGATGCCCGATCGTCCTGTCGTTTTCACGGCCTTGAAACGCTTGCCACACTGGTTGCACTACTTGCTGTTGCTGTCGCACCAAATCCAACCAGTGCACTGAGGGCCCCCACAAAGTGATCACTCACGACGCTGTTGCGGCCGATGCCCTTTGTTTCCAGACTCCGCCATTGCCCTGACATGACCTCCGCAGCAAGAACCAGCACATGCACGATAGGCTGCAAGAGAATGAAGCAGAAATCGGGAATCTTGGGAGAATAGGTTTTCCTGGAAGCCCTCGTGGTGCAGACTTGATCCTCAGCTTTCTGCACCTGACCACAAGGACAAGCTTGAGCCAAGGTGGGAGGATAAGGAGGAGGAGGAGGAGGAGGCGGAGAAAGAAGAGGAGGAGCAGGCGGAAGCGAAGGAGAAATAATATCAAGAGGAGGAGGAGGAGGAGGAGGAGGAGGAGGAGGAGGAGGAGGAGGAGGAGGAGAGGACCCAAGGGGAACAACATCTCCGTTTTGACTGCAACGCGGGCAGAGCGGGACCAGCGCGCGGTGCCAGGCCTTCTGCAGCAGCGCCGTGTCGTCGTGGACGCCCCTGGCCAGGAGGAAAGACAAGGAGAAGGCGGAGGCGAAGAAGGAGGAGAAGGAGGAAGGAAAATCAGGAGGAGGAGGAGGAGGGAGAAGAAGGAGGAGGAGGAGGAGGACAGGAGAGAGAGGAGGAGGTGGAGGAAATAAGGAGGAGAAGAAAGGGGGGAACGGAGGAGAAATTGGCAGTGGAAATTGGACAAGGAAGAGGACGAGGGAGAGGAGGAGCAGGGGGAGGAGGAGGACGACGAGGAAGAGGGACATAGTGAATCCAGGGTTCACCACCGATGGCGCAACGCCAACCATTATGTCCAAGTCTCCCTACTATAATCTTCGGAAGAAGACGAGGAGGCACGTCATAAATAATAGAAGGCGGAGGAGGAGGAAAGGAGGAGAGGAGCAGGAGGAGGGGGACCAATGTAAACCCAAGACGCATCAACGATATCATTATACACCCTCCCTTCGAACTCCCTCTTCATAGGCTCCTACACATATTCATGCTCATTGAAAAGAGTGCCCCGTTGGATAACAACCGTTTGAAGATCCAGAATTACGCCAGGACGCCTTTCCTGGGAATTCAACGCCGCGAATCACCATTACGTTTGCGTCTTGACGATCCAGAATCGCGCAAACACCTCGAATCAATGTAACTGTTGCGTCCTGACGATCCGGCAGACTGCAAAAACACCACTGCTGCAATATTGTAAAACGAACGCACGCGGCGCTGATGCGAGCACTACAGATTGAAAAAGAACCGCCCTCCATCCGTAAACCTTTTCTTACAATATTTTAAGACGAACGCTGTGGTGCCCAAGTGTGAACAACATGTTGAAAACATCCCGTCCTCCATCCGTGAAGCTCTTGCAATTGTTTAAAACCAATGTGCGCGGCGCTAAAGCGAGAACCACACTTTGAAGTCGGGCCGCCCTCCATCCGTGAAGCTCTTGCACATGTCTAGAACGAGTGTGCGCGGCGCTAGAGCGAGAACCACGTTTTGAAATCGTGCCGCCCTCAATCCGTGAAACTGCTGCCTAAGTTCCAGGATCATAAGCTGTGAGGAACTCTCAAGCAGAACGCGCGGCCCGCCCTTTCGACCTGCCTCGGGGTGCGACAAGGAAGAGGTATCAATAAGGAAATGGAATGGAGGAGGGGGAAGAGAAGAACGAAGATAATGGGGAGAAGGAGGGGAGTACGAGGAGAAGGATTTATGGAATTACGGATCTTGCGACTGCGTCGGTTACTTAGGCCTTGAACTGATCTGACCTCCCACCTGGCCCTGGCCTTCTCAGTTTTCGCTGTAAGCTTTGGGCCTGATCCCCCGATCCACATTCTTGAGGCAACCTTTACGATTCACCCTCGGAGTTGCCTGGGCACACCTGTCCGAGTTTGGCCAACTGTTGGGCCGCAAAGCTTCCACATGTACCGCAGAACCAAATCCCCAGCAGAGGAGAAGGGGAAGCGGGAACAGCAGGAGGAGGAAAGAGGGATGGGGAGGAAGATTTGTTTGCCAAGGGGCCCCAGCGCATCCCACGGGAGAGAGCCCGCGGTTGCGTCGTTCGGACGCGAAAAAAAGACATGTACAGGCATACTTTTATACGTATATACACATGTATATATACATATGTATATATATATATACACATGTATGTGTATATAGATATGTGTCAACCTAAAAAGAAAAAGAGAAAGAGAGAGAGAGAAGCACTGAAATGAATAAATAAATAAAGAAAAAGCAACAACAAGAGAGATAGCCATAGAGGAACACGTCAGGCATAAAGAAAGAAGAAAGAAAGAGAGCCGAAGAAGGTGGCAGACGAGGAGTAGGGGATAATCACTATCGATGTACTTTGGGCGCGCTGGCTCCTCCGAGGGCCGCCGGGCATCCCTAACAGGATAAGGACTGAAATGCTGAGGGAGAGACGAGGGGATGGGCGGGGGGGGGCGGAAAGGGGGGAGACGGGGGAGAGAAGGAGCGAAAAGGGGGAGGAGGGGGGAGGTAACGGGGATGGAAGGGCGAGCAACGGGTGAGGGGGGAGTCTAGGAGGAACGGGGGGACACGGGGACAGGACTCAATACGTCGCGACACCTGCGCGTGGGGTCTACGTCCCACCCACGCGGGAGGGGGGGGGAATGAATGGGGGAGGAATGGAAGAGGAATAGAGAGAGAGAGAGAGAAGACAAACAACAACATATACATACTTACGCAGGCCGAAATATGTTCCTCACCACCAGGGAATCATGCAGAGCAAACCCAAGAACCGTCAGAACCGACGACGTGGACTCACTAAGAAAAAATGAAGGGGGGGTCGCAAAACTCACAGAAACACCTCCCTCACCACTGAAAGAGGGTCACAAATAAACTGACGACCGCCACCTGGGGAACTGCGGGGATATTGCAGCGGAGAGGAGGGGTTGGGAATTCTGACGACAGCGCGGCCGCCCGACTCGTTAGTCCCCTTTGCCGAAAGTGAAACGACGACGGCGTGGCCAGAAAACCCCTAAGTCGTTTTCTATTGGAGTCGCGCCAGTGATTTTTCCTCTTGAACCCCAAATGTCGGAAGCGACGTGCCGTTCAGGTAAGCGGATACATGTAGCGCTCTCCTCGACTTCGTGCCTCCTCCTCCTCCCCCTCTCCGCCGTCCTAGGAAGACCCTCTTTTGTCCCCCCGTAGAATCAGAGCCTTGGTCAGCAAATCCACAGTTCCGTGAATAACATGATGCTTCACGTGCCGTGCCCCGCTGATTACATTTCCCTTGGGTCTGGGATGTTGATTATTAGATGGTGATTCCCGGAAAATAGACGGACCCGTTGGTTTTTCACACGGAAAGTTGGATCCGCGCAAAACAGAAATAGGATCCACGACACTGTCGCACACCCGAAATAATATCCAATTGGATCCATCGGTGTTATGATATCTTTAGTCCAAGAGGAAAAAAACAGTCGGCCTGGGGACGCATGTAAAAAGAAGGAGGAGAAAGATAGAGAGAGAGAGAGAGAAGAAGGAAGAAGAAAACAAGCGGATGAATGTCCATTCCGCGGCAAGCTGGCCCTCTCCCTGGCGAGCTGGCCCTCTTGCCCGGCGAGGCCTGGAGACCGCGGGCGCACACGTTCGGCCCGCGGCCGCTTTTTTGCCCTGGCGAGCGGACCAGCTCTGTGGCTGACCTGCAGTATGCGTGGCGGGGTTTATCCATAACCACCGCCTGGGAACCGACGTCCTGGTGCGCCATCGGCGGTGGATATGGAGTATATTTCGGCCCCTGGGGCCAGAATCTGTCCACATCCACCGCCTGCCGAAGCTCCGAAGACCGACTGACCCTCCAGGCGGTGGTCATGTATAAATTCCCGCCTCGGACAGTAAGGGCCCGGCCACAAGAAACCTTCCACCAGAAACCCAACCCTGAGACCCCAGGACGTCCATCGATTTCTGGTGTGGGAGCGTCGCGCTTTCCATCGCAGAGCCATCGGAACCCAAGAAAGCAAGGGCACCCTGGAGGCAAGCAAGGCGTTTCTTGGCATTGGTCTCCGCTGTATGCCCCAGGCGCTGAAACGGCAAAATTACGTAGACCCTAGACTTTGAAGCAGCAAACACTTGAATCCTAGACCCCCAACGTGATGCCAGGGGGCCTTCAGAGGGCCGCGGGAGGGGCCCGAGAGGAACCCCAGACAGCACCAACGCAGCCCCAGAAGGGCCCTCGAAGGGCCCCGCGATTGGACAAGCCAGCGTCGCCACGACTTCTCGAGGCAAAGGCGCTATCAGTCTGACCGTGCGCTTGTTTGACACACGATCATCCGAAGGAAGCGTCAGAATTTCTCGATCTCTGGTTTATGATGTCTGCCGTGTCTGTTTCGCAACCCGCCCAGTCGCCTACCTGCCCGTGTCTCGGTGCGTACTCCCGTGCGCGCGGGGCGGCTGGCGGGGAAGGGCTTTGGGCGTTGGCGTTTAGGGGCTCGGACATGGTTAGCGTTTCGCGCCGAAGCGTGGTGGGCCAGAGCTGGCGGCGCGACACGCTAAGTCAACCATCCTGACTGCATATCCGCCGCTGCGCCGCTTGGCACTCAGTGGAATGTCTTCAGGTCCCTTCGGATGAGCATTGAACCGAACTGGGCAATTCTTGTGTATTGGGTGTTGCGAATATTTGAATATTGTCACGTATCCCCTTCGCTTTGCTTCGCTGTAGCGTACCGCGCGTCACTGTCGCGCGCCCCTAAACGCAACCAGAACCAACCCGTCGCGTCTTCCTCCTCCTCCTCCTCCTCCTCCTCCTCCTCCTCCTCGCTCCTCGCTCCTCGCTCCTCCTCCTCCTCCTCCTCCTCCTCCTCCTCCTCCTCCTCGCTCCTCCTCCTCCTCCTCCTCCTCCTCCTCCTCTTCCTCCTCCTCTTCCTCCTCCTCTTCCTCTTCTTCCGGGCCTGCCACCCGAGGCGCCAGCGCCGCCGAGCGCGGTGGCCAGGCAGGCCTCCAGGGGATGGAGGACTCCGCGGATCAGGGCGGTCCTCGTCTCCTCCCTCCTGCTGCTCCCCACCCTCCTCCTCCTCCTCCTCCTCCTCCTCCTCCTCCTCCTCCTCCTCCTCCTCCTCCTCCTCCTCCGCCTCCGCCTCCGCCTCCGCCTCCGCCTCCGCCTCCGCCACCTCCTCCTCCTCCTCCTCCTCTTCCTCCTCCTCCTCCTGCCCCTCATCTTCCGTCCCTCCTCCCCGTCCTCGTCCTCGTCCTCGTGTTCTCCTCGTTTTCGTCCTCGTCCTCGTCCTCGACGTCCTCCTCCTCTCTTCTCCTCAGGCTGGTGTGCGGCAACAGCAAGGCCGACGAGCTGGTGTGTGCAGCGGCGCTGGAGGCCAGGCTGCCTTTGGCCGAGCGGGCTACGGTGCTGCGGGTGGAGCACCAGGCTTTCCTCGTACGCATGCGGCCGGCAGGGGGGCGCTGGACTCGCTGGCGGCCGAAGGGCAGGAGGCAAAGGCCACCCGCCGTTCGCATGGGGAGCGGGTGGCAGCCGTGAGTGAGGGTGTCCCCTTGCCTCCATCCTCCTCATCCGCTATGTCCTGATACCGTGTCTATTCTCGGCAGCTTTCACGCTCAGGAAGCCTCGGAGCGTCGTTGCCGCCGGTGTCGGGGGTCCTCGTCGATCTCTGAGCTGAGGAAGTGGAGAGCCTCAGCATGCTTCAAGCGAATTGTTCTTGATGGTTCCCTTCGGGTCCTTCCTACAGGGACAAAGTTGCGCATCGGTGGGGTCTGAGGGCCCATTCGTCTCACCGTATGCGGTTTAATGAAGATCTGAGTGTTTAGTTCTTTGGCGTTTGTGGAAGGTTTGGGGATCAGCAGCTTCTGGGGTTGGGTACGAGCGATTCGTACGGCGTCGGCGCGTGCAAAAGTTTTGTCACTGCGTCGATCGTTCGGCCTTGAATCGATCGCGGCCCCGATCGTTCAAATCGAATTCCGTGGGGTCACTGTGGCGTTACCGTGCCCCTCAGTGCTTTTGCGTCGTCCTATCATGCAGAATTCCGGCGTCGCCCGCCCATCGCCGCATGGCCGTAAGAAATTTCTGCAGAAGGCCACCGCCACCCATGTCGGTTATCTCGATCGACTTCAGAGAGGCTGATGCCCTAAAGCATACAATGTGACTGAGAAGGCGAAGCGAGCCCAGAACGGATTCCCATGTTGATTGGATGCTGTGGGTACTGCCCTGGGACTCTTACACCTACTCTTACTCCTGCCTCCTCCTCCTGCCCCTCCAACTCCTGCTCCTCCGTCTGATCCTACTCTTCCTCTTACTGCTCTGGAGATGCTAGGCGCTCTCTGGTTCTGTACCTCCTCCGCCTCCACCACTACCTCCTCCTCCTCCTCCAAAATCTCCTCGTCCCTCCTCCTCCTGCCCCATCCATTCTTCTCCCAATCCTCCTCCTCCTCCTCCTCCTCCTCATCCTCCTGATTCTCCTCCTCCGTCTCCGTCTGTTTCTCTCAAATAGCGGTGGGCACCAGCTGGCCCTGACTAAAAGTCGTCTGGTACCTCCTCCCCCTCCTCCACCACCACCTCCTCCGAATCATAACCCGCCTCTGTCTCCGAATCCTCCTCTTGCCTCCTCCCTCCTCCCCTCCCCTCTCCTCCTCCCCCCTCCCCCTCCCTCCTTCTTCTAATCCTTCTCCTCCTCATCTCCTCCTCCGTCCTGCCCCTCTCCTCCTCCTCCTCCTCATCCTCCTCCTCCTCCTCCTCCTCCTCCTCCTCCTCCTCCTCCTCCTGCCCCTCATTCTCCGCCTTCCTTTCTCCTCCTCCTCCTCCTCCTCCTCCTCAACTTCATCCTCCCCCTCCTCCTCCTCCCTCCTCCCTGCGCCCTGCTCCTGTTGCTCGTCCTCCCGAGAGACTGAGCAACACTCACGCGAAACATGTTGTTTGAACTTCCCCCTCATCCCCCCGAGTGCAATGTTGGTTTCGGATCTTCCGAATTTGAATGTCCGAGCGTTGATGATTTGCGGGGGAGGGGAGAAGTGCAGCTGCTTTGTTTCCCTCCACCGGATCTCCAAAAGCCTCCGAAGCAGCTCTGCAGATCCAGGAACAAAAACGGAGCGGTGGGCGCCCGTCGGCCCTGCCTGGGGTTAGTGGGGTAGTCCTCCGCCAATTCCTCCTACTCCTCCTCCTCCTCCTCCTCCTCCTCCTCCTCCTCCTCCTCCTCCTCGTCCTCCTCCTCCTCCTCGTCCTCCTCCTCCTCCTCCTCCTCCTCGTCCTCGTCCTCCTCCTACTCCTCCTCTTCATCCTCGCAATGCGACCTGGCCACTAGCAGCTATTGAGCTCGGATTTCTCCTGGGCTGTGGCGCAAGGTCCACAGCAGAACCGAGCAAGCCAGCTCCTAGCTACGTATCTGGGGCAATTGCGTGACCCGTGTCTTCGCAACTCCACCCTAATCCTCCCACCTCCTCCTGATCCTACAATTCCTCATCTGCTCCTCCTCCTCACCCCTCCTCCTCCCCTCCTCCTCCTCCTCCTCCTCCTCCTCCTCCTCCTCCTTTTCCTCCCCTCCTCCTCCTTTTCCTCCTCCTCCTCCTCCTCCTCCTCCTCCTCCCCTCCACCTCCTCCTCCTCCTCCTCCTCCTCCTCCTCCTCCTCCTCCAATTCCTCATCCGCTCCTCCTCCTCACCCGCTCCTCCTCCTCCTCCTCCTCCTCCTCCTCCTCCTCCTCCTCCTGCTCCTCATCCTCCGCCTTCCTTTCTCCTCCTCCTCCTCCTCCTCCTCCTCCTCCTCAACTTCATCCTCCCCCTCCTCCTCCTCCCTCCTCCCTGCGCCCTGCTCCTGTTGCTCGTCCTCCCGAGAGACTGAGCAACACTCACGCGAAACATGTTGTTTGAACTTCCCCCTCATACCCCGAGTGCAATGTTGGTTTCGGATCTTCCGAATTTGAATGTCCGAGCGTTGATGCCTTGCGGGGGAGGGGAGAAGTGCAGCTGCTTTGTTTCCCTCCACCGGATCTCCAAGAGCCTCCGAAGCAACTCTGCAGATCCAGGAACAAAAACGGAACGGTGGGCGCCCGTCGGCCCTGCCTGGGGTTAGTGGGGTAGTCCTCCTCCAATTCCTCCTACTCCTCCTCCTCCTCCTCCTCCTCCTCCTCCTCCTCCTCCTTCTCCTCCTCCTCCTCCTCCTCCTTCTCCTCGTCCTCCTCCTCCTCCTCGTCCTCGTCCTCCTCCTACTCCTCCTCTTCATCCTCGCAATGCGACCTAGCAGCCACTAGCAGCTATTGAGCTCGGATTTCTCCTGGGCTGTGGCGCAAGGTCCACAGCAGAACCGAGCAAGCCAGCTCCTAGCTACGTATCTGGGGCAATTGCGTGACCCGTGTCTTCGCAACTCCACCCTAATCCACCCACCTCCTCCTCCTCCTACAATTCCTCATCCGCTCCTCCTCCTCACCCGCTCCCTCCTCCTCCTCCTCCTCCTCCTCCTCCTCCTCCACCTCCTCCCCCTCCAATTCCTCATCCGCTCCTCTCCTCACCCGCTCCTCCTCCTCCTCCTCCTCCTCCTCCTCCTCCTCCTCCTCCTCCTCCTCCTCCTTTTCCTCCTCCTCCTCCTCCTTCCCCTTCCCTTCTACATAACTTCCCCTTGTCTCATCCCCAGGCGTGTGGGCAGGGTGGGCCAGGCGTTTCGCCGGATCCTCCTCTGGCGCACGCGGGCCCGTCTCGCCCCGCGCCCCCGCCGCCCCCCCGAGCAGGGCAGCCTCTCGGGGAGCGGCCAAGGCCTGCTGCGGAGTCCTTCTGCTCCCGCTGGCGTGCCGACCTGCTCCTCCTCCTGCGGCCGGTGCTGCTCCTCCTGCCGCCTTCGAGGATCGAGCGCCTCCCCCATGGGGCCCTCGGTGCTCCGTGCTGGGCGAGCCAGCCTCCACTGCCAGAGTGGGCGGAGGAAGGCAGGCAGAACGGAGGTCGGACCTTCCTCTGGGAGGTGCTCGATCTTCGGGGCCCCACCCCTCCCGGTCCCCCCGTCACTCCCGAGAGGGGAGGGGGACTGGCCCAGAGGGGGGATACATACCTCGCCCATGGATCGGCGACGGGCCCCCCGACGGGGAGGCCACGCTCCCGCACAGGCCGGGGCACCGATGCCCCAATCTGCGCGGAATGGGCGATCGGGAGTCGACGGAGCGCATTTTCCTTTCACGATGCGCGAGGGCGTCCCCTCCCCATGGGAACGATCTTTCTGCGGCATCTTTCGAGCTGGGCCGACCTGTTAGGACCCCAGGGCCCAAACCCCGGGCGAAAACGAAAAAGTTTCAATGCCCGGATCTCGGCGTCGAATTAGATCAGGCATGTCCTCCTACAGGCAGATATTGGAAGAAAGATGACAAAGAGTCAGGAAATAATCACATTAATACACACAGATCAAAGAGCACGAACAATCCTCACCCTAATATTTCTAAACTATCCTTGGATCTTCTTCCTGTAAGAGGGACATGCCCGACTTACGGGTCGACCCTCGCTGGCCCCCGCGGTGGCCCCAGAGACCTCGCCCTCGCGGGCACCCGCCCGCGGCTGCCGCGTTGCGAGGCCGCCGCTCGCGGGGGAGGCCGCCGCGGCAGTGCTCCGGGTCGGCGCGAGGCTGCCGTGCCGCGTGGGCGTCGCGCTGCCTGCTGGGGAGCCCTTCGCCTTTTGGTGCCGCTGTTGCCCCGCGGAGTGGAGGAGCGAAGCGGCCGGCGGCACGGCGCGCTCGTCCTCGCCTCCGGCCGCCGCGACGCTCTGCCTCGGCGCCGCCGCGGCGCTGCCGGGCCGCGCCCCGCCGCCTGCGCGTGCCCGCCTCGGCCGGCACCGGCGTGCAGGTCTCGGGCGACGAGGTCTACGCTACAGTCGGACCTGGGCCAGGAGCACGCCCCTCGAGAGCATCAGGGTACCCTCCCCAGGATGCACACAAACATCCCACAAGCACGAAGAACACTAGGGCACCCTTCCCGAACCGACTGTACACGCAAACAAACACACACACACACACACACACACACACACACACACACACACACACACACACGCTGCCCCTGGGCAGAACCCCTGACCTCGGATCCACCGTGCTCTTTGGGCGAGCTCGCAAAGAGGCCGGAACTGCCGCCCTATACAAGCTCCTTGGATGTCGATCTCCGCACTGATTCGCCACCGCTGTTTCCGCCCTACCTTTCTGGATGTCCGACCTACGTTGTGGACAGCTTTGTGCAACTTTGCACACACTTGTGGAACTTTCCACAACATTGAAGCAGAAATCTCCGCCCTACTGATTTTGAGCTCGGGCGACGAGACCTATCGCCGCGCCGTCTGTTCTCGACGCGCCCAAGTGGACACCGCCGACACCACGGCAAACCCACAGCAAACGCTGCGTCCCGCGCCCAAGTAGACGAAGCCTGCACCGCGGCAAACCCGTGGCAAGCCCTACGCCCGAGGCGGCGCTTGCCCTGGCGGCCAAGGCTTTCTCCCCAAGACGCCAGGCCGCGCGTCGGAACCAACCGCGCGGCGGCATGATAATGATGTGCTCTACACGTCCGCTGCCCCTGGCCAGAACGAATGTCTGATCCTCGCGCTGCTCCCCCGCGGCAGCACCGAGGAGTCGGCGACCCCGGAGGGGAATGGTTTGCAGAAGATGTGGTTTGCAACGGGCACCCTGGGGGGGGCACCCTGGGGTGCGGGCGGGGACCTCCATAGAGTTCTCCGCCGCGCCCCGAGGAGTGCCCCCCAGGCCCCAACGGCGCCGATCGCAGACCGCACCCCAGCGCAACCTTAGGAAACAACTACTGGGAGGTCTTCGTCGGAAGGATCAGGGAGGATTGAGCCCGACTAGGGGGGCTGCTACGCCGGATACGGCCGCGGATGAAGCGGGATCAAGCCGGATTAAGCGGGGTTGAGCGGGATCAAGTGGGATTTAATCGGATTTCGGACCAGGGCAAAGCAATAAGTTGACCTCCCAGGAGTTGCATCCGAAAAAACCACACCCTCCACGAGATCCGGCGTTGCAGCCAAACATGCAACATCGCAAAAAAGCACGCCCGGAACCCCGGACACCACCTTTCTGCGTCCTTTCTCGAGCCACATCGATCTGCGAGGGCGGCCCCCCCGGCCCGAAACCGAGGGAACGCGCCCGCTGTGGCAAAAACTGCAGCGCCAGGACCTCGGGGCTTCGAAGCCGCCGAGGAGCGGCCCGGCGGCTCCCAACGGGCCCGGCCCCCCCCTCACGGCGCCTTCACGATGTCGGGCGGCGCGGCCGGTCCCCCGGGCGCCTCGGGGGGGGCCCCGTCGTCCTCCTCCGCTGGAGCGCCGCCGGGCTCCTCTGCGGGCCAGCGGGCGCCGTCGGCAGGGAGGAGGCCGGCCCTCCCACGGAGGTCCGTCGGGCGTCGAGTGCCCCCAGGCCTCCTCGCGCTGTGAAGCAGATCGCCTCGGGGCCACAAACCCGGACCTCCTCGCGCTGTGAAAAAATCACAGCGGCAAGTTGTGCGCTCTTTTCGGCCTCCGGGGGCCCTCACCGGGCCTCGCGACTCGCGAGCGTCAAAAACCGACGCAGGATGCAAAACTGGTCCTGGGGAAAGGGACCAGACCTCTGGGGGTCGACGCTGCGGAAAATCACGACGTCGGAGGTCTGGGAGTGTCCGCGCCCCCAGAGGCAGGATCCCGAATCACTTACCCAGACATCTGGCTGCTCCGATTTGTTCGATGCGTGGGCCCCGGAGGTCAGGACCACTTCCCTATGTAGGGCCTGCTTTTCTTCCCGAGTCGTTTTTGACGCTCTCGAGGCCCGGCGAGGGCCTCTGGAGGCCGAAAACTGCCAAAATCCGGTCGACCGCCGAGGTCCGACAACGACGGGTGTGAACACCGCGGCGCGGGTCCTGGCCGGCCATGAGCCCACATGAGCCCCTCTGGGGCCCGAGGTCGGTGCAGTGACGCCGCTCTGGGCACGGGTCGGGCAGGGCGTGTGCACCGATCCTGGGCCCAGGATGCCCTGAGATCCGACGTTGCGGAAAAAGACAGCGTACCCAAAGATCCGACGCTCCCAGAAAATTGGAGCGGCGGGAT